CCGCCTCTTGAGCAACAAGCGACCGAATTAGCCCAGAGGTGTATCTCTGCCGGCTATAAAAACAAAAACACAAATCCGTCAGATTCGCAAAGTTAAATCGAGGATGAGAATGGAAAAGACACGCACACATCCCACACGCGCATCCTACACGCAATCTTCCACGGACCCCACCCCGTATTCATTCGCGTCGCGGGATCAGGCCCCAGATCATCCTCAGTCGCCTGCACATACCCACCCATCTGCGGCTGAGCCGGCGAAGGCGAAGGAGGCATCTCATACTCCGGCCCTTCACCCTCCGGCTTCCCTACTAACCCCGTCTCCGTGCCTGCTTCCCCTGGTTGTTCTTCCTTCTCCTGCGAATCCGGCAACGCAACCGGCGAGACAGGCACAGAAACGATACAAAGCGGGCTCCTCCGCCTCATCCGTCCATACTCCTCCTCAGGAGACATCGCCTCCGGCGACGGACTCATCCTCTCCACCTCACCCTCGCCCTCACTGTCAACAACATCCATCTCCACCTCGTCCTCCGCCGGCGCATCCACATCCACATCCGTCTCCTCCCCATCCCCCTTACCCATCACCTCCACCTCCGTCTCCATCTCGCTGCCATCCCCGTTCTGACTGAGTCTTTGCTGCAGCGACTGCACCATCCTCCCCCAAACCCTCACCCCCCTCCCCACCGGCGCCCCCCACTCCCTCACCCACCTCTCCCCCGCCTCCCTCCTCATCTCCGCCTCCCGCGCATCCACCATCGCCCGCTCCCCCGCCTTCCTGCGCCTCTCCATCAACGCCCCCCACTCCACCGCGCGCGTCTGCCGCTCCGCAAACGTCGCTGGGCCAGCGAGCATCCCGAGGCCTGGGGGCGTGGAAAATGTATACGGCGAAGATGAAGACGGGGAGGTCGGAGAAGATATAGCTATAGGTATGGAGGAGGGGGAGGAGGCGGGCATGGATAATAACGACGACGAAGCCGGCGCCGAAGAAAAAGGGGACGAAGATGACGATGAAGATGAGGAAGAGGGAACACCATACGGCGCATGCGGAAGCGGCCAATCAGGCGACACAGTCGGCCCAGGCGCTATATCACCAGCAATTCCACTCCCACCAGGCGAAATCATCCCCATAATCGCCGACGGGTCCGCCGTCGTTATCTCTGCAGAAACGCTCGACGTTGGGGGCGTTCGTGCTGGTGACTGCACGTGTACGGAGCCCGCGGGTGGAGACGAAGAAGGTGGCGGCGGGATACTAGGATTTGGATTTGGGATGGTTTCCGCATTCCCGACTTGAGGAGGCGAGCGACTCCCGGATGCACCGACGCCTTCGTCTTTGTCTTTCACAGCGACAGGAGCATGAACAGGAGCGGCATTACCCCCCGCCGCCAACACACTCAACTCCGCCTCCAATACCGGCGCAGGCAACACCGGCGGCGCAAACGGCGACGGCGCCAACTCGTCGGGGGAAAGCGAGCGCGAACGGGCGTAAGCGGGCGTCGCGGATATCGCAATCGCAGATGTTGCGAGGGGCGCAGGCGAGACGGGGGGTGGAGGTGTCGGCGAGGTAGCTGGTGCGAATGGGGAGGTAGAGGTCGCGATACTTATACCCGAATCCACCACACCCGTACTCCAAGCAGGGAGCGGACTGGGACTCTTACTGGTACTCGTCCCGCCAACGACTTTGCTCGACGACGACGCGACAGCCAAAGTCAAAGTCGGACTCGTAGGCGTCAAAGACGGCGAGACACTGACACTGACGCTCGCCCTCGGACTCGAAGTCGGAGAAGTAACACTAGGAAAAGAGGCCTCATCGTCGGCTTTCCTCTCACTCATCGCATCTAGATGGAAAAAAAAAGCTACATCAGTATCGAACCGAAGAAGAAAAGGATAGAAAATAAAAGACCCACCGACTAACACCATCTCCACGTCCCCACCTTCCTTTTCTTTCGGTTTCTCCTCCCCCACCACACCCGACCCCCCATCCCACCCCCTCTCCCACCCCGCCCCCAACAACGGCGACGTCAACGGACTACTCAACGGACTACTCCCCGGCGCCAAACCCAACAACCCACCCCCCATCGCCGTCGACAACATCCCCAACGTTGGCTTTCCCCCCGGCATAACCGGGGGTGGACTCGTCAACACCCCCACCGGACGCATAATCGGACTCGTCGTCGTACTCCCACTCCCACTCCCTTGACTCTGACTTTGTTCGCCTGAAGACGACGAAGACCCAATAGCCACCCCCATATCAATCTCATCCAGCCTCCCCGGTGCCGGACTCGCCCCTCTTGCACTTCGCGGCCTTAACGTCAACGGGTTCGCCGCGTTCGCCGCGTCTTGTTCTTCTTTCTTCTGGCGGGCAGTGGAGGTGGAGGTTGAGGTAGATTGGGCGGAGGGGGGATTCGTGGTGGGCTGTGGGTAGTTGTTAATTAGATAGCACAGATAAACAAAATGCACATACAGTATAAAACAACCTCGCCGTCCGCCTCGTCAGACGCATCGGCGGCATCGGCATCGGTGCTGACTGACTCGTCGTCGCTGCACTCACAGCTATAGCTTTCTTCGTCGTTGTCCTCGGCGGCTTCCCGCCTTTCTCAGCACCCTTCTTCTCCTTCTCCCGCTTCCTCTTCTTCCTCGGCGGCACCGCCTCGCCCTCCTCCACCGTAGCCGACGAAGGCGACCTTGTCCTGCGCGTGCACCCCGCCGACGACGGGGCCGTAGAGGATGATGCGGCGGAGGTGGATGTTAGCGAAGAGGATGCGGAGGAGGCCGAGGTAGATGCTGGGGAGGGCGCTTTGCCTTTGCCTTTGTTGGAGCGGGAGTGAGAAGGGGTGTCAGGCTAGAAAAAAAGGTCGTAGTTAGTGATGATGTATGAGTAGACATGAGAAAGGAGAGAAGGACGCAAAGAAGGAGACTCGACCCCGGGCCAGACAGATGCGTGTGCGTGAAACGCAAGAAAACGGGGACGAGAAAACGGAAAAGAAAAAGAAAATGAGGAAAGCGGAAAAACAGAAGAAGAACGGAGAACAAGAGAACGAAAAGCAAAGAACGAAAATCGAAAAACGGAAAACGGAAAGAAAGAAAAGAAACAGGCCAGCCGCTATACCGCCTGACAGCATAGGGACGGCGAAAAAAGACGACAATGAGCCGTCTGGTATGTCGCCCTGCCGGAGAAGGAAGACAAGGGATGCAAGAAGACAGAAAAACAAGCCCGCTGCTATACCGCCCTGGATCCCAGTCCGACGAGCGTTGACAGATCCCTGTAAGACAACAGTGGCTACATCGACGACGCCAGCTCGTCAGACACTGCTGTCGCCACCACCGTCGCAGTCGGGCACGTCTGCTTGGCGACCGATAATAGGGTCATAAACGGAATGCAGGAGGAGGATATAGAGGTCCCTCGAAGACGACAGCGACCACACCGACGACGCCCGTTCGTCAGAAAGAGCGATAACGCTACCGCCGTCGCGTTCGGGCACGTTTGGCTGGCGACATCCCTCTCGAGTCACATAGACGCCCATCGATAGAAAAGCGAGGCAGGACACACACACGCATACGCCCACATCCTCCGCCTTCCCCATCCTTCCATCAACTCCCCTCCCTTCTATGCACCGATTGACAGGATCCAAGACATCCGACTCGAAGCTCCTCCTCCCAAGCACCCCGAAAAGGCAATCCCAGCAAGAAGGACCACAAAAACATAAAAGGAGCCGGAGAACGACCCCAAAACGCCAGAAATCCGGACCCAGCACAGAAACAAGACAAGAGAAGAAGACAGAAGAAGACAAGACAGACGACATACCTCAGCAGGACACCTCACCCTCTGCCTCTTAACCATCGCCCCATCTTGTCCTCTTCCCCCTCCATCCTCCGGCGCATCGACAACCTCCGGACTCTTCCTCTTCCGCTCCCTGTGCGGCACCAACGGCGACGACACTGACGACGACGACGAAGCCTCCTTCGCCTTGGCAGAAAGCTTCCGCGCACTCGGCGGGCGCAGTATGCGTCTGAACGTCGGCGTCGACGTCACCGACAGCGGAGTTGCCGGCGTCGGTGGAGTCGTACTCGAAGAGGAGGAACTCGAGGCACGCGGCGTCGCCACGGCCCCAAAACGTGTGCTGCGGCGCTTCGGACTCGTGTCCTTGCTGGATTGTTCGGGTTCCCTATTTTGCTGAATTGTATGCGTTGTTGACGCGGAAGGTGACTTTGTTCGGGACGGCATGCAGAATGCGGGTGACTCGTGCGCCACGCAGAAACCACGCCGTATTCAAGCTTCGAGCGTCAAGTCTTGTGCTTCGAGTCGTTGTTATATGTCGCCTAGCTCTTCTTGTTTTTCTTCTTGTTGTTGTTCTGCTATTGTGTTTCTTGTAATAGTGACTGGCGACAGCGATGGATGAAGAAGAGCGACGGTGACAACGACAACGACGAAGACACCAGATAAAAACATCAACAAATACTCGGCTCAGGCGGACCGGTGGCCGCGTCACCTTTCACACGCTCTCCTACCTCTTACCGTTTTACTCAGACTGTAAGAGGAGACTGCAGAGGGCTCAGAGTCTGTAAGTACGCGCTCGCGATTCGCACAAACGCGACACGTCACACCATCGTGGCGCGGCGTTTCTCTGTATGTAAACTCTCCCTTTTGGTCCCGTCCGACCGTTCGACATTTGATCCCAACGTGTTCACTCTGATAATACCGCCTTGGCCGTCGCAATAGGTCGCAATCCAATTCAAACCGCTCCTTATGAAGCCGATTGTCCACAGATCTCGGATCGGGTAGATCAGGACTCCGACTCAGGAACTCGACAGCGACAGTCACGGCAGGACATGCTAAGCACCTGTGCATATCGCTTCCTAGTTAAAATATGCTTCGGGTTAAAGTGTGCTTGAAAGCTCGAGACGGGTCATTGGTTTCCGGTTGACGGAGAAAAAAGGTATTATGGATTTGATGAAAGATGCAATCGGGCGCAGACAACGAAGAAAAAGGAGTTCCCAATCCTCGAATGCATTAAGGGGGAATCGAACCCCCGGCGGGTCGACACGACACAATCCTACTGAGATGGCAACGACCCAGGTTACCACTACCCCATTAATGCAGCAGGGTTTTTTGGAACTCAGAATGCTGGGACCACATTGCGTAGCAGGCGATCGACATTTTCGCAACTTTCTTGACAAGTGTCAAGATAACAATGGACAAGGAAAAACTTCCCAGTCGTGAATTCAAGCACTTTCCATGAACGCTCTCAATAAACCGTTGTGTGTGCTCTCACTCTGTCATAAATTCGACTTGCTGGCAGGAACTCGAACGGAACAATCCAGTCTAATTGCAGACTGGCAGTCCAACCCAAACTACACCACACCCCTACAATTTGAAATATATAGCTCTGAATATCATAAATTACAATAGTGAACGCAACTTACTTCTTATAAACACACCACAAAACTCAACACAACTAACAGTACGCAACATCTTCAACCAACGACCAACCCCTTCCCTCTCTTAAAGTTTTACTCTATTCTACCGCAAAACACCAAATCCTCCTACCTAGTGAATTCACCCTGCCTTGTTCAAATTTCTCCCTCCTCATCAAAAATCCCCTCAAACCCCTCCCTCGCCCCACCCACAACCCCAAACGCCTCCTGCACAACCCTCCCCAATCCCTCCACCTCCCCCGTCAACCCACGCATCAAAAGCGCATACGCAAAGAACAATATCTCCGCATTCTTCTTCAAATTCTTCTTCATCATCGTCGTCGTCACCTTATTCCTGTCCTTGTCTTTCAACTCCACGGTTGTGTCCGATTCATGATGACTCCGAAATTGTTCACGAATGGCCTCGATCTATGTGAGATATCAGCCACTCATTATCGAGAGGTATCGAAAACCACGAAGAAAGAAGTAAAACAACGAATGAACGAGATGAAAGACATACAAAGCGCCCCCTCGCCGCATCCGGCGACGGCAAATACGGCGGCAGCGGCGCCTTCAACTGAAACGCCGCTGCCAAAGTCGAGAAACTCAACACCACATTCCCCGCCATTTCCCGGCGCCGCGCATTAACAGGGAGAATAAACTCTCGCCGCACATCCTAACAAATCTCTTAGTAGTACATAGCCGAATAGCATATATAGCCCACCGTGAACCTAATTCAAATCGCGCAAGAAAAATCAATAGCTCAATAAATTATGAATAAAAGAGGAGAGAAGAAAACGCACCACTCCTCCCTCATAGTAACACACCTGACCCCCCTCAGCCTCCCCAAAATCAAACCCAAACTCTCCAAAATCCCGCGATACAACTCCACGGGGAACGGCCCCTTCAACCTCGGCTCGTGTTGCGTCTGGTCGAGAAGTTTCCTGAGTTGCAGGAGTTTGAGTTGGAGGTGGAGTTCCCTATAGATATCAATTTGATTTGATTCATCAGTCAAAACTGCAAATGCGGAGAAAAAAGAGAAAGGCAAGAAACGAGACGCACATGGCCATCAACTCCTTCACGTACTCATCCAGTGTCGAATACCTCGGCAACAGCGGCCTTCTCTCAGGATCCCCTACATTCGAATTCGAATCTTCACGCTCGCCGAAATATGGATTCGCAGCCTCCAGACGGGTATACAACCACCCGATCTCGAGACAAAATCTGCGTCCCCAATGTTAGAATAAATCACTCGATAGATCAACGCAATCGAAAGAAAAAGAAAAAGAGAGAAAAACTCAACTCGCCCAACATCCTCCCAAACTCCCTCCTCGCCTCCGCCGGCCACCACACCCTCGCAACCAGCGCCGCCCAAAGCACCCCCGCCGTAACCGCAATCGCACGCAAAATCGCCACCTCAACAACTGACACCGCACGTTCTCGAACGTTATAACTATCAACCCGCAAATTCAAAATACCCATCAATCCCTTCATCGTCGACGGAAAAGTGGCGAGGCGAACTCACCAATACAAACAAGTAAGATTATAGGTCAGAAGGATGAACCTCGAGGCGGATGTGTTGTAGTAGAAACAAGGCAAGGAGAAGAGGAAACCGAAAATCGCTAGGGTGACGGGGTTTTCTGGGAAGAGGGTGTACATGATCGCAGCCACTGTTGCGCCGAATCTACAAATAAGTAAAAGAGGATATTCAGTCGGTTGACCCGAGAAGCTTGGGATGTCATACGCACATGGTTCCAAGCACACGATGTAGGCTCGAGAAGTTCGTCTGAAATCGGACCTCGTCAGCCGGGAACTTTCCGAAAAGACACCTAGCCCAAATGCTCACTTCTCCAAGAGTCGGAGACATCACAACAAAAAACTACACCGTCCCAGCAATAACTATCAGAAAGAGAGAGAGAGAGAGAAAAAGTAAACTGGAACTTCTCACCGAAATCAACGCCCAATGTCCCCACAACCTCAAAAACACCAGCCTCGTCGCCTCAAAAAACGCCGGCGCCGCCAAAATCGCCGTAGCCCCTCCCACCTTGAACGCATGCCGCACATCCGCTTCTCCAACCCTCCGCCCGAAGCTCCAAAATCGCATCTTGATCTTACCAATAAAGGTGAGGCCGTCGTAGGACGGAGTGTGCATCGTGTTTGGCGCATGGGGGCGAATCTTCGGGAAGGAGGGGTGGATGAGGCCTTTGGGAATCATGATTGAGGCTTGGTTGATTGAGGAGGAACAAAATGAGCTATGCGGGAAGAAGGAAGAGGAGGAAGGAGAACTCACAGAATCTCCGTTTCAAGGTGGACGATTTTGGTATAACTCTTCCAGGAGGATGAATGTCGTTTGTTGGCGTCCTTGGTGCGGAGCGGCTTCGGAATATACCCGTCCACCAATGCGTGTGATTCGGTCGAGCGTGATGTTCAAGTTTGAATATTCTGTTCGTCGCGTCAGCGAGCGATATCAATTCTGTCGCAGTTTCCTTGAGAGTGAAGATGAAGCTGGCATGAAATGTTAGTGAGTTCAACGGTTCGAATAGATTCAAGAGGACGTACAAGCAGACCACGGAGACGTATTCGTGATCTTCGACGTTCATCGTATCATAAGAAATAAGAGATGTGTTGCGTAAAGTATGATTCGAAGCACCGTCGAACCGGAATATAGCACCCTCAATTTCTTCTGTCAAATCGAAAAAATCGTCTTCAAAAGGATTATCGCCAAGCGGCGCCGAGAACAATTGCCGCATTCGCATAAGTGACCAAGTGCAGGTTTTCTGCGTGAAAGTTTCGGTGTACCTGCAGCGGAGGATGATACGAATATTCACTTACCGACAAACTTTTCAACGCAGGCTGCAGCTCGTACAACAATTCAGAACGGGGGCAAGCCGGGGCTGCATCTCGGAGATCCGCCGCAGCCTGACCCTGTCGAACGAGGTCGTAACGCAAGCTTCTCCCTGTTCTGAGCTCGTCTAGATGCTGTTTCAACCGATTCATACTATCCAACGCATCCTCGTAAGCTTTGCCCAACCTCCCGCCCGGGCCACCTCGCCTCCTCCCAATCCACTCGCTCTGAGACTCCCGCAGATTATTTTTCAGGGTCGCAAAGCTACTCGGTTTCGAGGTGGTGTTTTCAAGTTTCAAGATTGAATTGTGAATCCCATCGTCAATGCAAAACGCGCTCGTAACTGACTCCAAGACATTTGAGAACGAGTCAAGGGTCGTGACGATATTGGCTTTCAGAATTGCCGTCGCAGACTGCGGCCAGATAAAGTAACACGCAAGATTCGAGATTACGGCGCCGCAAAAGGCAATGAAGGAAGTTTGTAAGAGGGGTTCGAGGCCGCCCTCTTTGACCAGACTGTAATTTTCAATTCAGCGTGATCTGGGCGATAATGCAAACACTTACACGAGAAATATGATGATTGACATCATAGTGCAGGCTCGACCACAATCAGCAAAGAGCAAAACAACCGATAATCACTCACCAACACTGAACGATGGATGATTCATCCACACCTTCATCCAACCCATGAACCCAAAGTGCACTCCAATCCACAAAATGACCAAAATGGAAGCAAGCCAGTCCCACCCCGACTTGCCCTGCAGCCACCAAAAGAGAGATACGGAGGAAAGGCAAACGAAGGCTGAGTATATCAGACCAACAAGACAATATAGATCTGCCTCCACCATAGCGCCAATTGTTTTCGCAGGATTGAAATGCACGGAGCTGAGAATAAGTTGGCTTTTTTTTTTCCTACAAAGGACAACCATGGACGACCGACGTACACAGTTGCGACAAGATACCCCACGGGAGACGGACTAGACGACGTATTATTGTACGCCGGAAAGTTTGATATGAGACTCGAAAGATAGGGCGAGAACGTGAAGAGGGAAGCAATGAAGTACGCGATCGAGCATTTGAGGGCAAGTCGATATTTCCAAGGGAGGATTGGAGATTCTATGGCCCAGAAGTACTTCGATCGGATAGTATCGACCGTGCTGGCGCAGGCGCCCGACGATATACATCCATTTCTCTCTGCTGAGCCAGTTGGTCGAGGCGGGTGGATCATGAGCAGCCTGCCAGCTCAGAGAATGGCGCTGAGAAAGGGCAAGGCGGCGGGAGTTACTCGCCTTCGGCCGTTCCGCTACAATACGCACTTGGCAGCGGTATATTAGGAAGTCGACTGTCCATAGAGAGCTATAGACCGGGTTAATTTCCGAGGCGGAGCTGGGCAAAGAACCTTACTATTTACCTGTGCGGCTATACGGGGAGCGGAATGCTCCAAAAAGAGGTACCTATTTGAAAAATTCATGGCAGAAATTCGGAGTTTCCGATTGTAGTTTAACCATGGGACATTGCTGTTGAACGTTGACTGCGAATCTAGTTCAAACGTGATGATCAAGAGAGTCTGGTTTACTGGGAATCTGCTAGATCTGGGATGAACAAGGTCACGTCGGGAGCTTTCCCGGATGTTACAAGACAGAATTGTTGTAAGGCGATTCAAATTTAGCGTTAAAGCCATTCTCCAGTCGTGCGTTCAAGATCTCTGTGCTCACAACCCAAGAAAACTAGACGCTGAGGAAGAAGCTGGGAAGAAGCGGGTACGGTGGAGAAAGCCGGCCATCAAAGCTTCAAAATTTCCCACATCCGATCGTCATCACTGCTGGTCCAAAGTCCCAC